CGCGGCACACCGTTGTAGCTCTGACGGCACAGTGTTTGAAAAACACTGGTGTAATAAATAGTTCAGCTATTACTATTCCATTTGACAAGCTCGTTATAGCTTTGAATTATTTTGTCACTTTGCAACCTTTGAAAATTCAGGAAATGAAGAAAAACAAACTTAATAGAGTAAAGAGCAATGAATGTATGAAGCAAACTTATCAACCAAGGCATGCAAAAAGAAAGGGGGCCAGGGCGGGAAGCCAAGGTGAACAAAATAATGAAGGTGGTGTTAAGTTTATGTTCCAGAAGAAAAGTGGTGCTGCAAGTTTATCAACTATCACAATAGGGATGGCGCTCTATTGGAGCTACGGGGTGCTTTAGTTCCGTCAGTAATCTGTGCAGCCTCACTTAAGCACCTCCAGCATTTAGCTTGATATTCGAAAAACCATTCATCCTTCTATTATCTAAACCGCTTTATCCTCAAATGTGCCTACACTTGAGCTAAATGTTACTTTAAATAAAATATTAACATCAATCAAAGGGCTGTTCATTATTCCCAGTGTTTGGACTCAAAGGGTTACTTTACAAATGAATTTTGATACAGTTACTCCTTACCGGTTAAAAAAAAAAAAAGTGGTGCATAACATAAGGTGAGTACTGTACCATTATACTAAAGTAATTTAACTTCACTTGTGGACCATGCCAGAGAGAGAGAGAAAGCGAGAGAGAGAGAGAGAGAGAGAAACTTCATCCCTTGAGGGAATTTAGTTTTGCTCGCTCCAGAAAGTTTTTCAAATCTTCTAGCCCACAGGTGTCAAACTCAAGGCCCGGGGGCCAGATCAGGCCCGCCACAGGCCAAAGCAAATCAAAGATGTCACCCTTCATGATGCTTGCTAAAATCTGTACCAAAATGTCAAATTCTCATTTCTAGTAAAGAAGAGTGATACCGTAAGCATTTTCTTGTTACCAAACCCATCATTTCAGTAACTTAAACAACAGGCGAATAAACTGTTATTCCTGACTTCTTTATATGGTTTCAGTCATAATGGCCCTCCAAGGGAAACTGGAACTAAAATCAGGCCCGCGACAAAAATGAGTTTGACACCCCTCTTCTAGCCCAGGGGTGTCAATCTCATTTTGGTCTGGGGGTAGAATACAGCTTAATCTGATCTCAAGAGGGCTGGGCCAGTAAACTCATTGAAAAATTACATAGAACTAACAATAAGTCCACTTTTTTCTTTGTATTAGTGCAAAGATAATGATAATCAATTTTGAAAATATTTACAATAAATGACTTTTCATTTACTGAATACATAATGGACAACCTAAGAACTAAAAAAAAGTTTGTGCAATTTCAACCATACTTTGCTCTGCTTTTGTTGTAGTGTTCAAAGTGTTCATAGTTGTTGAAATATATTATAATAAATATACATTTGTAAATTCATTCATGTCTCAAGTACAGTAGTAGTGGGGGTGGGGTGGCCATTGGGAATTTTCCGAAAACGGCCCATGTCGAGAGCATCACGGCCAGATGCCCCTATCCGCTAAAGATTTTTTTTTTTAAACATATCTCTATAGTTTGATACCAAGTGGTCCGTGGACAGGTGATTGTGGACCACTGCAGTCAGTGGGGCTGTGCCGCAGTACACTTTTATACCTAGCAACACCCCTGCCCTCTGCCCAGCTAATACAGATCCCTTACGGGTCAGTTAGAGTTTGCCAAAAGGCAACACAAATGCTAGCAAGGGCGTTTTATAGACCCCTGGATGAAGGACCATGCAGGCCCCCAAAATACAAAAGTAGGAAGATGGATAAGTAAAGAAATATTGTAGTTTTCCTGTGTACACCGGGGGCGGCTCGGTGTTTGACTGGTTAACCCGTCGGCCTCACAGTGCAGAGGTACAGGGTTCGAATCCGGTTCTGGCATTCCTGTGGGGAGTTTGCATGTTGTCCTTGTGCCTGCGTGGGTTTTCTGCGGGTAATCTGGTTTCCTCCCACATTCCAAAACATGTGTGGCAGGTTAATGGAACGCTCTAAATTGTACTTAGGTGTGACTGTGAGCATAAATTGTTGGTCGTGTATCTGTGCCCTGCGATTGGCTGGCAACCAGTTCAGGGTGTACCCCGCCTACTGCCCGACGACAGCTGGGATAGGCTCCAGCCTGCCCCGCAACCCTTGTGAGGATAAGCCAACTACAGTAGAAAAAGATGGATAGATGTCTGCCTTGGGACTCAAACCCGCACCCTCTGCATTACTTAATGAAAGTGATTGAGGTCATGTGGGGTGAAGTCACTTCCAAAATACTTTATCAACAAAACCAAACATAGATTGATTTCGGTGCTGCAGAGCATTAAAATGTTTTTGTAGGTTTAAAAAAAATAGAAATATTTACTTGCGACGGAACCACTAATCAGTGGTTTCACTCTAAATAATTGACTGAATACTGTCACACCAGGAAGATAGGTGTTATGGTTGGTCTGTTTGGGACCAACAGGTGGCGCTGTATGGCTCCTCCTACAGCGGCACACCTGTTGGTCATCATGTCATGAGAAGGTTCTCTGTTAAAAGGACTCCCGGCTCGACCACTCAGTGTCGGGTCATTGTTTCTGGTGCTGACTCCGTTCCTGTTCGTGTTTTGCTGCTGCCATCGCTTTTTGTTTGTTACTTTGGATTCTTGTTGTTTCCAGGACTTTTTTGTTCTGGATTTAGTTTTCTCAGTATTTTGTTAAAACAGTTTGTCAAGTTCACCCTGCTCGGAGGCTCCCTCTTGCCTGCTTTTTGGGGTCCTCCACTACCACCGTCCGTGACAGTAGGTTTGATCTGCAAGCAGGACAGGAAGCACATCAGGTCATTCACATCAAGGCAGAACAATAAATTCACGAAAAGTCGACAGAGCAACACTTGGTGCTTCGCTTTTCTAGCCCAGACCGGCAATTTCACACTACAACATTGTGAACAGAACCAACGTTCACCGTGCTCCTGCAAACATCAACCCAGTTTCGCTGTTAATATTGATAGATATCTTTCTTTTTTTTTTTTCCCTCTAAGGACTCAGGAGTGGAGGCAGTTGCCACTGATGTCGGCTTCAAGAAACTGAATATGTGGCATACCAAGCCATCAGCTGAAACACGCTGCTTTGCTGGGTGTGCCATAATTATCAGTCCCAACCCTAATGCATTATCTAGGGTGTGTTTTGTGTTGTGACGTTCTGGTAATTAACAGAGAAGTAAAGAGGATATTTCCACTAACGCGTGAGTGCCACCTTGCCTCTTGAAACTCTTGGTCAGGCATGTCTGAGCCGCTTTACTCCAATTTGATTGATTTTGAGCATTTCTCTCTGACCTCTTCCAGGTTTAAAGGCATTCAAGCCAACAAGGACTACAAGAAGATACTTTGATGACAGTGCTTCATTTCCACCAAAATCATTTTTCCAAGGCTAAAATCAAGTAAAGATGACATGTACTATGTACTACATCTCAGAGACACTGTTGGAGATGTTGTGTTTACTACGATTCATCCCGCACATGAATAGTTTGCCATTTGGTGGCCTCGGCATGCCAGAAAAGTCATCAATTTACGATAGCCGCCAAAACTCACTCATGAGCGCCCTGATGGACAATGAGAGAAAGTAAAGTGAAATTGGGCGGCTGTCTATCATGACAGGAGGCGTTTAGACTGGGTGCTTGGAGAAATAAAGTGGACCTGCTTCTGATTGAATTACCTTGTTAGAAACTGTCAATGAACGAGCCTGAGAATTTGAGCCAAAATGGCTGACCCTCTGTTCAATCTTGACTATTTTTCTTACATCATAATATGATAGAAGCGCACCCAATTGTATGTGGGTACATCAAACTATGTTTCATGGTCCATTTTTTTTTCTAACTTTCCAAGGTGCACTGTGTGGGGGGAATCCCATTGAGACCCTGAAATGATATGTTTTCATTGAATCTTGATTTGATGTGCCAGAACTTTCAATCGCGTTTTTTATCAAATGACAAAACATGTGTGTGACTGAAAATTGAGCATCCAAGCAGAAAAGTGTCTTCTTCGAGTCCTCGTTCACTGACAGTGTTGCTGAGATGTCTCTGCGAGCTCGGAAAGTCGTGAAAGCAATGCTGAGAGGAAAGAGGACAGTTGGCCAGAGCGTGTGACAAGACGTCGAAACGCATTCATGCATATTCAACAAATGCTGCGGTTTCTGCCATGAAGAGTAATTATGAAGACAAAGATTCCAAGAGGGTCTTACATCACCTCCTGCTTGGGTGTTTTTAGGCTCCCAAGCCTTCCTTCTGTGGTCTACCAATGTGTGACTGAACAAGCGCATACTTTGAAAATGATCGTGACTTCATTGGACTGGGATAGCGGCATACCAAACAACCGCGTGAATGGGTGTGTTTTTAATTAAGGAAGTAAGGGTCCATCCAAATGCAAGTGCCATGGTGTGTGAGGTGTGTTTTGTGCGTAATGAATAATGCTGACGTTACTCGGTTAGGGCTGCTCTATTAAGTCAAGAGAACATTCCCGTGTGTGCAGGTGCACCGCCCTGCTTCTCATCTTGCGCCTTTTGTTTCACGAATCTCGTTTCCCAAAAAATTGTAACATTTCATTGTGTGTGTGTGTGTGTGTGTGTGTGTGTGTGTGTGTGTGTGGAGTTCATGTAAAAAAAAAAAAAAATTCGAATAAAATCCAACAATTTCTCCTTGGAGTGTTTAGATCAGGGAATGTCGCAAATAAGAGTCAACTGTGGGCTTGTGAAGCCTCTTTTGTTGTTCAGGGCTACACATAAACTTGACCCGTCACCTCTAGTTTTGTCTTCATTTCGGCACGAGTGCCCAGGTGCACATCATATGAAAAAAAGACGTTACCCTTGTTTGTTAAAACTCCCTCAAAGCTACACAGGTAACTCACCTGAACGGGTTTCCAAAGGTTGTTGCAGAACTCGTCTGATGTGTCACGTGACAAGACGATGATTGCCATATTTTTCATTCCAGGACTGCGTCAAGCCTACGTATAAAAAGGACTGCTCGGCTTCATTCTCAGCATCAAGCATCACCTCTGCAAAGGTAACCTCGCGCAACAAAATTTATCACTAAAAGGAACATTTCAAACAACACCACGTGAGATAGATTACCAATATGATCAGCTCGTATCCCTCGCGGTCAAACGCGCAAATGAAAAACTGTCTTCTTCTGTCACCGCACAGATGGCATCTGCTCTTCGCTCCTTGCTCCTCCTTTGCGGGATCTGTGGACTGTTGGCCGGAGTCGTAAGTCAAAATTTCTGCCGGTGACTTCAACGGATGTATATTTGCGATTGCGTTTGATCATCAGTCATGATTTGCCATCTTGCTTTTCTTCTCGCAGTCATGTCAAACATTGAAAGGTTAGTCTTAGCATCACACTTGGATTCCTTCCTCACCTTCCTTCCCCAGAGTGAGTTGTCGCCTAAAAGGGCTAAAATTGTGTTGCAGGGTACTGCCCTAAAGGCTGGACTCGGTTGAACAATCGCTGTTTCATCTACCAACATGATCCGAGAAGCTTTCCCGATGCAGAGGTTTGGAAGACTTTCAGCCAGTAGTTGCGGCATCGTTCATAACAGTTATTGTACAGTTGATTATTTTTTTCTTTTGCTGGTTTGGTTTTGTCACATCAGAGGGTCTGCAACATTCTCGGTGGGAATCTGGCGTCCATCAACAGTGCCCTGGAGAACCAAGTGGTTATTGAAATAATTCGGGCAGCTGCTGGTACTTTCAAAGACACCTGGATTGGATACCAGGACTCCATCTTGGTAAATCCTTGCTCAGTAATCAAGTCTTGATTCATTCATGTCGGTTGCTGATCCCTAGAAATGTCTTAAAAGATGAATGTGCTCTCCCGATTCAACCTTGTCACCGGCTTAACCGAAGCACGTAAGGTTGAGTGTTGGTCTTTATGAGAAGGGGAAACCGCAGTGGCCTTGAATAAATCATGGGGCTTCACCAACAGGTGGACACTGGTCAGATCCGCGCTGGCTTCGGGACGACACGTTATGAATGCAGTTAGCTTTCAGGATAAACGATACTTTTGACAATCACACTCCAATCCCCTGACTGCCTTCTCCACGTTCCTGTCCCCAGTATCACGTCAAAACAAACTGAAATCAGATGAAAATCCAAGCAGCGGTTTTCTTGCGTCTCGTTCAAATGGGGCTTATTATTTTCCAGGAGGGTGACTTCATTTGGACTGATGGCAGCTCTGCAGGTTTCGATGACTTTGAGACTGGGCAGCCGAATGAAGGTGTACCTCCTGAGGACTGTGTGGACATCGAGGCGTCAAGTAAAAATGAATTCATTTCTTTGCTTTGTAGAAATGGAATCGCAATTCAGTCTTCTGAGGATTTCATATCATATTTGTTTTGTTTTTCTTACAGCTGAACAGTGGCATGATGACAACTGTGCAGATTTGAGTCCATATGTTTGTGCCAAAAAAGTGCACATCAAGAAACACTAATCCGACCATCACATCATCTTTACAACCTTCTGGATGAGAATAAATATACTTCAGGGATAACAGTCTGATTTCTCAGTCTAATCATCTATTCCTTCTTCTTTTTCTATTGCTTCTTCTGCACCATTTAGTTGTCATTGGTTGTGCTCAGTCGAGAAAAAAACCTTCAGGCTTATGACTAATAAATGAAGGAATCTGCTTCTGCATAAGAAATGTGTTTGTGTGCTCTTTGCTTTTTAAAGTTGGATGTAATTGTAGGTCCAAGTGCACAATTTTGTACAGACTGTAATGCCGATGTCACAATCGCTTCACAGTCTATTTCCACGTCCTGTTGAAGTGGCGCCTCACATTCAGGGAATGCATGAAACATCCCACATTCATAAATAAGTCTCGACTCCAGTCTGTGACAACACGGAACCTGGAAAGATAACACAAACATTGTTTAAAATATTCCACCCTGATCAACACTAGTCGTAGATGATGTAACTGTCGTTAATTATCTACAACGCCAATCACCCAGCAAAATGTTACGGTCCAGTTGATTGGGCAGATCCGATAATTCTATGTCAGACTTGAAAGTGTTGTTTGGCCTATTGAGACGGAGAGCCGAGTTCTGAAGAGGGGTGACTGAAATCTTGACTCAGAAGTGCAAACATTTCCAGTGAGTTAATTTTTGTGACAATTGCAGAAGATGAGGTCTTGTTGTTTAAGTTGGTTTGCTGTTTAGGAGTTTTGTGCTGTCCTTGAATGGTCATTTTTATGCAAGAGAGCCCTTTGCAGTGGAAAAAAAAAAAACAGTACGTGTTTATTTTGTTATTTGCTTCAAAATATTGTTGTTTGGGTTTGCCTGGTGGATCTTTTATACATGCATTGAGAAATGTATGATGAAAAATGAAATATATTGAGAGAAATAGCTGCTGGAGGGGTCGGGAAATCGATAGATGTCACGAAAACCTTGCTATGTTGGGAATATTGCAGGCGCAAGTCCAAGCACTTTCTTGCTCCCTCGCTTGTAGATGAATAGGTAGGATAAGCAGTAAAGTAGTGTGTGTCAGAGCATTTCAGTCGCATTTAGAAGAGTATCTCACATGCTTTGATGAGCAAAAATAAAAACAAAAAATCGGTTTTGTGTATCGGAGCATTTCGTCATGTGAATGAGAGTGAAAGGGTGAGAGGTTATCCTGAATTATCGATTTGTCATGTTAATTATAAGGGAGCACAATGCCAAAACTGTAAAGATGAGTCTCCTGACACTTGAACAGACGAGATCCGCTAGTGACAAGATTTGGGCAAAGTATGGCCTGGGGGCCAGATCCAGCCCACCCACAGTTTGTGACTGACCCTGTCCTAGACCACCAAGAAAAAATTAGATGTCAAATACGGTGCCCCTCTGGGATCTATCATTAAACCCGCCCCTCTCTGAAAAGAGACTAGCAAAAATAACACCGGCTTTTCTAACGTTAGCAACGTTCTTATTTCCGGCATGGTGGGCCACAAGAATATGGCCTGACAAAACTGTTGGCAAAACCATAGACTGTATGTTTTGGGTGTTTTATCAGTCATCACTGCGGTATTATACGTCATCGTCAATAATATTACACTCCCCACAATACATTTGGGCGTCTTGACTAGGAACAACGAATATGAGCTGACGGTTGATGCAATTAACACGAGTATTTTGAATGTGTAAAGCTGTAATCTGAATGACCGCCTCTCATTTTGTTTTAAATGTGTATTTCCTAATTATAACAATATATACCACGTCTGTACACACAGCTTTTCATTGAAAATAACATCGAACGAAGGAGACTTGAGCAGGATGGCTCGGCCCGCGGCAAGCGTTTTGTGTTTCTCGTGTGACCTCTTTGCAAAATGAATTGCCCACCCCTGGTGTCCGTCCCGCCAGATAGAAGAAAGTGTGTGTTGCGATTGTGAAAAACGATGACACGGTTCATGGTGTGAATGAGGAAAGCAACCGAGCGGGACCAATGAGATCAAACAACAAAAGAAGGCATTTGGCTCTTTCTCATTCAACCGCCATTCAGTGAGTAAGCAATAAACGCCGCAATGGGTGCGAAGGGAAAGGAATTCCACTCCAACATATTGGTTTGCTTAGAAAAAAGGAGTCATTTATTGAAAAGATCCCACTGAATCGAATAATTAACCAGTGAATTACCCGGCAAAGCGACATTAAACGACACCACCGATGTTGTCTCAAAGGTTGTGTGATGAAGGAAAGATTATTATCGACGAAAGATGGAAGCAAAGAGGGCTGATTAATGGCAATCTTTTTTCTCCGCAGGTCTGCAGCAAACATATGGGTTTAACACGGTGCACGCATTGTCGTTCCATGTTGAGTCTGCAAAAGAAAACACAAACATGGGGTCAGTAACACATACTTCAATTAAAGAATCATCAATTTACCTTATTGCAATATGAAAAGACATTTGATGACACATCAGGATACACAACATTTTCCTTCCAAATTATTCTTAAGCATACAA